CAATGAACAAAGAACCACTGATAATCACAAATAAGAATAGCTTTATTCATTCTTTCCAGATTTTTCCAAACCTGGAGAGTGTTCAGTATACTTTCTAAGGGTTTAGGGTTTTGTTAGGGTTTTTTTAAATCTATAATCTTTATTTACAGATTCTTCTAAACAAGGGGTTTTCTGCCGTATTTCTAAATACATTGTTTGATACAGAAGGGATATTGATGATTCTGAGCTCTGATATGCTAAGCATTTGCATTAGCTTGAGGGGTTTGGTGGTGGTATTTTTTGTTCAATGGTTAAATAGTTTCTAACCCCTGCAGATTAAACTGCTTTGTAGTATTTCAGTGAGTAAACAGGGCATAACAGAGCTATTACACATTTTTCTCTACCTTGCATTTTTTGGATAACATTTCATCAAGACAGCTGAATTTAACTTTATGACTGATTCAGGACAGAAATAACTGTTAACATATATTCTAAGTGGCCTACATGCAGAACAGAAGTACTTCTACTTACCAAAAGACGATCAGTGTCTGACTCAGAAGCACATTTCCCTTCAAAAGGTTCATCATTCTTCAAAAGGAGATCAGTAACTTAAACCCAGAAAGAATAACTCCCATTTTAGTTTTTTCAATAATTTAAAAGCCTTAGTTTTCAACTTCATTATAAACCTTCCACAACTGAAGTGCATTAACACAAAGTATCATTATTCCTTTTTCACCAGCATTTTTAGAGGCACAGCATGAGAAAAAATTTTAAACCATTTAAGAGTCAGAAATAATAGAATAAGAACTGCTTTGACATTCAGAATGATAAATTCCTCACCACACTCTAGTTATCCCTGTTGCCACCATTTCCCCCTCTGATTTATGATGCTTGCAAGAGACAGGCTTTAACTTTTCATACTAACATCCTTCCAACTCACTACACACAAACAGAGTATAAAACCCATCACTTGTTCTCATTTTAACTTCTTGAAACACCTTTTTTTCTGTACACTTTCTAATGCAATTATGTTTGAGCTCAATTTCAGTTATCACAACTAACTTAGACACAGCAGATCAGCTGAGCCATAGTAGTACACAACAAAGACAGAAAAGCAAATGCTTGTACCTAAATCTCCTTCTAATTGTTTGAATACATTGCACAGTCTGGTAAATTCAACATAGGCTACTATGTAACTGTTTCCAGGCAGTAAATCATTCAGATATACCTAACATATAAAACTTGACCACTCGCCTAGATTCTTAATCTGAAACAGAATTAATCCATTTTAGCTGATGGTATGCTATTCAAATACTTCTGCTAAGCACTCAATCCCTAGTATCAGGTAGCCATGTACCTGGGGGGTGGGAAATAAGGGAAAAAAAAAGGAAGATAGTCCTTGTTTCTAAAAGCAAGTACATGACAATGAGAACAGTTTCAACAAAACCAAAACCATACCTAAACACCTAGTGGATGAATACAAATCAAAACATATTTGCTAAACAGGGAAAGAGGCCAGACAGAGAAGAGCAAAGTCAATGAGTCATTCACATACATATGGAAAGCATACAATTGCTTTCCATATTGAATTAGAGATACCAAAAAGCACATTGGAACTGAAATGTATTATAAAAGCAATTGCAAAAAGAAGGGAAGAAAAACCAAAGCAACTGACAGGCCAGTTGGAAGAAAAAGACTGCGATTACTTGCCTGTGCTACAAAGATTTCAGAATCTACAGCTGCTATTAGCTTCCCGCTATAGTAAGCCAACTGCAGTAAAGAGCTATGATTCCATAGTGGCCCTGTTTAAATTAAAGACAATTGTTCAGATTATATAAACCAACACTACCAGCTTGTACCAATGGAAGATCACATTAAATACCCAGAAATATTAATTAATTGCTCAGTGAAGATATTTTCCCTTTAGAAATACCTCCTAAAAATATTTTTTTTTTAAATAAAGAAGACAGAATACAGAAACATTTAGGTACACAGCAGACATCTAGCAAAACAAGGATAAATGGCAGGATTAACATTTAGATGTAGTTCTATTAGATGACAACTCCTCTACTGCTACAACAATCTCATGAAAGCCCTTTCACTAAATCACTTTCACACTGATTCCTTTTCAATGCTATTTAAACTCATTATGTTAAATGAGTACTATTATATCTGCACTAAAATAAACATAAGTACTGTTTTTATGCTTGCCTACCATGTAAATCACCCTCTAAAAATACCACAGTTCTGTCTGTTACAGAGTACTTAAACATACACATTTAGAAGTTGGTAGGGGCTGCTCTATTTTTAATTGGATGAGTTGGTACCTGAAGTGCACAAGTAAAATCTTTAACTTCCAAGATTTATACTTTATATGTTTATACTTCTCAGAGAAACTGTCTTACAACTTTTATAAAGCATAAAATTACAACAAACACATTGTTCTATATTCAGCATGAAACACAAAATTATTTAAAACAGCTGCAAGAAAAATCTTGAGGCATTAAAAGAAAAATGTGCTGGTAAGGCTTATTGTCACAACCAGTTGTGACATGACAAGATTTCATGGTATCTCCATCTTTCCTGTTTGTTCTAATAATTGTCTTTGATATAACAAGAATCTTTTACTGTAGAATGGTACATGCAACTCACTCTACCACTTTTTGCACCAGGTATATAGAAGGGGACTTAGAAGACTAGGAGATGATTTTATCAAAGCATCAGTTTTTGGAACAGATGGGTTCTTTCATGAAATAGACCAGTGCAGTTTACCTAGTGTAAACCCTTTCCTTCCTGGAAGTTCAGTCTATGTCCTTACTTATATAAAAGAAAAGAAGATCAGAGTTGAAGAAATGGAAGCTTGAGTTAAGGCATGTGTAACTTACCAGGTTTGATCATACAGCTGGTAGCTACTGAATTCACTTCTGCTGTGCAAGTTAAAAGCAACTGTCAGCTAAAATCAAAGGAGTGGCATAAGTATGAGATCAAATTTAGGTCCATCTGAGGCCTGTTTCAGGACAAATCCTTCACATCTTCAGAAAAGACACAATTATAGCCAGTGAAGATACAGGAGAACAGTTCTGCAACAGTTGGGTCCATTTTTTAAGATCTTGTAACAGTTTGCTTGGGTTTGCTGAATACGCATGTTTATGCACAGCAGAAGCTGCAATAACCTGACAAAACCGCTCTGCCTCGTATCACCTTTTAGGTTGACAGTGCTGCTAAAGACTTACTCTCATCCTAATCAATTCAGTCAGTAAACTTTCAGGCTACTAGAAAGCTTGTCAGGGGTAGGGACAGCATACTCTCTTGTTCCACTTCCAACAGTGATGCCAGCATTTTCTATAAAGCATTCAATTGTAGAAAATAATCAAATTAATTAGAAATTGGAATTGCTTATTAAAGGAAGTATTTTACTTTTATTAAAAACCACCAAACCCAGAAATATTGGAAATACAATAAAAATTCAGCTGGAATGAACAGTGACAGACCTTTGACCATTTGATGGCTGCTGGGTGCCCATTGTCTTTGGTAGCTTCACAGCAGGGAAGAGAACATACTTACACATTTCAAAGGAACAATGTATCCTGAATAATTCTACATTTTTGTTTACAAGCTTAGCAGTAAGGCCAATGACTAAGAAAACTTTTGGATTGAGCTACTATTTCCTTGCTAAAGCTAGTAATTCAAAAGCTAAATCTGGGCAAAAACAAAAATCTAGACTGGCCACTAGTCTGCACAGATCACTTTCAGTGTCTGTCATTCTGGCATTCATCACACCCAGTCAACATGTTAAAACCTTTATATCACTTCTAGGGATCCCTGTCCCCATCAGCAGTCAGTAAGAAAAGAGACAAAATGCAGCTGATCACTCTTGTTAGTCTGCCTAACGACCAAATGCAGAAACATTTCCACTGCTTCTTTAGGTAAGGTTAACAAGGTGAACTACAACTGTGTCAGCCTCAGCTTACTGTCTTTGAAATTTAAATTAAGAAACAACTTTATGGCTGTAATATCTATCTACCTCTGTAGCACAGAAGACAAGTGCTTGCATATGAACATTGTTTGCACAAACCAATTAATGTATATAAACAAATAAAGAGAGAATTTATTTTTAAGGAAATCACTACCATAATAAAGTCAGAGCAGGCAACAATATAATTGTCCTTGCTAGGTAATGACACTGGACTCACAATATCATGTAATTAAAAAAAAAAAATTAACATAGGAAGTAGAAAATTTCATTCTAAAGTTGCTCCATGGAACTGGAAATACTGGACACATATATTCAATTTTTATATGGATTCATACTGTTAGATAAACAGCATCAGATATGCGTTGTTTCCAAAACAACTGAATGTTCCATACATTCTGTAAGAGCAGACATCAGCTCAGGTTGGCTGATAATTGGGATACTTATTCATAGGCCAACATGTGAGGCAAGTATCTAGTCTCAATCAGACAAGGTTAGAACATGGGAAAACAGAACAAACAAGAATTTAAAGAAACATCATAAACAGATTTTACATTACTTTCTTAACAAATGCCTTGACTGACACATTTTTCAGATCTGGCTTCCCATCTAGCCTTTCAATCTTTTACTAAAATATATTTCAGTGAAGTTTTTCTGGAAAAAGCGTTTCACAAAATGTGTTTAACAAAACTTCTCATTTACCAATTACACTCCAACAAACCTGGAGGGAACAGCACACATGCTGTTTTATTACTAAGCATAAAAGTCAATGTTCTCAAAACCAGTGTAGCTTATGTAAGGTAAGGCATCTTTACAGCACAGTTCTCAAAAGAAGCAATTCCTTAACCATAGTAACAAATGCCTATAAAGAAAAGTCTTCCTAAAAATAATTTCAATATTGCCATTGAGAAACAGACTAACCACATAATGTTCAACAGAGAAGAAAACCTCTCACTTAATATGTCTCTTTGATCCTCAATTGCCTATTAAAAAAATTTAGGCAATTGCACTTGTTACTGGAAAACTTGCAGGAAGAGTCTCACTTGTTGGTGTCAATCTTAAGCATCACCAGTTTATTGTGGTTTTTGTTGTAGCAGGGTTGTTTGTTTGGTTATCAAAACAAGGAAATTAGTGACCTAATTAAGTCAGTAGTTTGTTCCATACCAGCTATTGACCTTTTTGGTGCTTACATAAAGCACCAAACTGACTATAATATATTCCTTGGTTTCTTCCAACCATACAAACTCAACACAGACTTTACCCTCTGAATCTGCATAGTCTGCAGTATAGATATGACCCATGTAGTCATAAAGGCCGGATGATTTGGTAGACAATTCCATGTGGACTGGAGCACTAAAACACCAGAAGGGCATTCCAGTTTCATCCAAGAGAGTCAGATCCATCACAAAGCAGTCCTACAAACACAAGCAGAAGAGATTATTTCCCTATGTCATGGCACAGTAAGTAGATTAGAAGACATACCAATGGTTCAGAGAGTTTTGTACAAAGGCTAAAACCTCAAAATAAAATTGATAGTGCTTCACTGACCTACTGCAACAAATACTTAGAGATTTCCTACAGAAATCGAAACTGCAGCCTACACACATCAAATGCTGTGCTACAGAAAGTACCACTGCCAAACCAAATCAGACATTACTTCTTGAACATTTTTAAGCCTTTAACATCTGTTTTTCTCAACTATTAGTTACTTTACCATTCAAATAATGATGGTCCCTTCAATATGAGAAAGTAACCTAAGTTCAAAGTCAGCTGCTAAACTTGTGTGAATGCAGCAATGTTTGCAAAGATACTCAGGGACCACCCCCAAGGCAGTGCACACACAATTACCCCTCCAAGCCAGCTGTATGCAGTACTCATTGAAAGGCTCACAGCTTCAGTTCCCAAAAAGGTAATATTAATAATCTTGATGTAATTCCTCCGCTTACAAATTCTTGAAAATATTTCTTTGCAAGATTACACAACTAGATAATTTAAAAATGTTAATGCCACTTCCTTGGTCTTGGCAAACTGATAGTTTCACATATCCCTTGGAAGCATAGGAGTCATGTGTCATTGTTAGTATCAGCTGTTCCTTACTCTCATGAGTTCTGAATCATTAAATTAATCAAATTATCTTAATTATGTGGTATCTGTGCTCCAAAAGCGTATACAAACCAACACCACATATTCCTTGCCAAAAAAATTCATTTGGAATGCTTTATTTCTCTGTACTACGTAGTTGTGCTTCTGTTGCTCTAACATTGCTTTCACTATTACTTTACTTCAATCAAACAACACAAGGGGAGATGGCACAAACATGAGGCAATATGATACACACAGTTTCCCTAAGCTTTTTACTGTAGACTATGCTGAAAATACAAAATTCAAACCGAACCTAATGATGGTGTAATAAACTTATATGAGCTACAGAATCACTGGAAACAAGAAAGAATCACTATTTTCTGGTCTGACAGCTTGCATATAATAAGCCAATTATAAATAGTAAAGTGGGGTGGTGTGGGGTGGCGTTGGGATGGTGGGGTCTTCCCACACATTTCTGTCCTGGTTCTGGTCAGGATCAGGTTAATTTCTGCAGCAGCCAGGAGAGAGCATGGCTAAGATGCTGATTTTTCTACACCAGCTCACCTCATTTCCAGGGCCTAGGAAAGGGCTTTCTTCTCCTTAGGGGTATTGCACCATGGTCAGGTTGCGCTCCATGGTGAGCATTTGCATGCGAATCACTCCCCTCTCTTGTACATTCTTGTTGTTAATATTATTGCTGCTACTCTCTGTTTTCTTATCTCATTCCTGCTCCTATCTCAACCTTGATCTTTACCTTTTGCACCTCCACCTCTCCTCTCCAGCCCAACACAGGGGAGAGAAAGGGGAAAGCAAGCCAGTGGAGTGTGATTTGGAGTGGTTACAGTAAGAATACTAAATTGGAGAATACCATTCCTAAGCCATGACAATTTCCAACTATGTGTACTTCAGCAAATAATTTTTCATTAAAAAATCCAGAAGTGCCAAGGAAGTTTTTAGGGTTTTTTTTGTTTATTTAAAGTATTAGCTAAAAGTCAAATAAATTCAAAGTAATGGAATGTCCTGCTTCTGTGGCTGATATTATCTGGCCTTCACATGCTTTAAGAATTTTAGAGATTTATGGTAAAAATCACGCTGAATTCAACCCACAGCTATATGCTGACATGTTCCATCTCTCATCACAAAATGAGGTTTAAAAAAAATAGTGTACTCTTTATTTTGTGCTAGAAACAAATATTAAATTTAATTTATGCTGTAAGCACATGGGAGAATGATTAAAACTGAAAAAACTAAAGACTACAGCCATAGCTCTCTGTTTCCTCTGACAGATAACTTCATAAATGCTTATGTACTACTCAGGATTTTTTTCATTTTAAAAAAAAAAAGACTCTGTCAAGAAGCTGTTAATCCTATAAAATCATAGAATGATTTGGGTTAGAAAGGACCTTTATAAGTCATCTAATTCCAACTCTCCTGCCTCACCATGCTCAGCATGCAGTGCCCAGTTTAAACCTACCCTCTTTCAGTTTAAAGACATTGTTCCTGGTTTTGTCACTACATGCCTTGGTAAACAAACTGTCATCAAAGAGTATTCCATTCCAAATTTATCCAGGATTGGCAGAAACAACAGTTTTATTAATTCTGAGGGGTTTTTCCAAAAGAAGTGCCGAAATTGAAATCAAATGTTGAACTAGATGATTTTTCAGTAGTGCTTAAATTATATTTATCAGAATCTTCACAACTTCTGAAATATTCATGCTGATAAAAGTATATTTAAAAATATTTGCCCTCACCACTTTTGCAAAAGCTACAGAACCACTCTGAAACTTTGTTTGAAATAATTCTTTTAGGAATTTTATCCAACAGAATGTGTGAGCATTCCTCTAAAAATAAAGAGTTAATCTAGCTGACTGATGTACCTGACTGGAGCTAGGTGCTGACTGTGTGGATGTGGACTGTAGTTTCCTGTGTCCACTGGCATTGTAATATTCCCCAGCAGTTCCTAACTTTCACTGCACATACAGCACCAAACTGCAGAGTATTTCCCCAGAGGTTCAAGGCTTATTGCTCACAAAAAAAAAAAAACCCAATCAACCAACCAAAAAAAACCAAACCAAAAGAAATAAAAAACACAAAAGAAAAAATAACACTCTCACACCAAATTAAAAAAAATCCTCACAAAAAGTACATCTGCAGTACATTCTTTTGTCCAACATTTCCAAGTGGGCTGGTCAGTCACAGCATCTTTGCTGAGAGGAAAGCACTGGAGCAACTACACACAGATAATGGGTCTATCATGCAATCCAGACTCTATGAGAGAAAGGAGAGAACTCTTTTCCTCAAAATTCACTTTTTTTTTTTTGAATATTGGAATAGAGTTTTGTCCAGTTACAGACAGCTTCTACAAATCAAAAGGTTGTTTAAAAATTAGCCTATTTAGGCTGCACAAACATAATTCTGTTTTGAGGTAAGCATTTCCAGAAACAAAGAATATTTCTGACCTTTACATTGCCTTTAAACACATCTGTTTCCCAGCATATGCCAAGTGTCCCAATAATAGGCAAGTGCTTCCTATTATCCTTTAAGTTTACAACTACGAGCCTCACGTATCCATTTTCAATGTCACCTGAAAATATAAACAATATACAACATTACACCAGTATAAATCAAATTGAGCCCAAGTACACTGTAAATGTTCTCATCTCCTTTCCATGTCTTTTTCTTCCCACTCACCAATAAGAAACCCTGGCATACACCAATAGCCAAATATCAAGCACTTTATAGAGGAATTAAGGTGCAGTTTGGAGCTTTGATTCTGTGATCCACAGTAGAAACTGCAGATAAAAAAATCTTTTGTATTTTTTAGTACAAAAATAGGAATGCCACCTAAAGAACTTACACAAGGATGCAAGGAGAAAATTTCACACTCAGCATTTCAATTTCATGCCACCAGTGCCTCCGTAACTTCCCATTCCCCAGAAGTCAAGCTCAACACTAACACACAAAATAAAACAATGAGATACCTCCCCAACCTTTTTTTTTCAAGTTATTTAAATCTCTTATCTCTGACTGGAAACTCAAATAAGCCAATACAAAGGGTACACAGATAACTATTCCTCCTTAGAAAGGATAATGCATCATTTAAATTGACATGAAGTATGATTTGATTTGAATCAAGTTTTTAAATTACAGATTTTTTCATTTTTTAAATAGCTCTCCAAGGCCCCTGGGGTTTTTTTGGCAGAATTACTATGATTTGTGATTTTTTTATTACTACATATAACCATATTTCTTTGGAATCTCTTCCTCTCATCTCAAAAGAGATTGGCATTTTTTTTTCAATTTTTTTTCCTTTGCTATCAGAGAAGGAAAGTTAACCAGGGAATCCAACAGTCTAATTATAACTTGGGGTACATCATAGTGAACATGATCTGACTACAAAGAAAAGTGAAAATAAAAGCATCACATCATACATAAGCAGATTTCTTGGTAGGACATCCCTTAAACAAGTTTCCTTGAACAAGAGATACTGTCTCAAAAGAGCAAAACAAAAGCACTAGAGACCTCAGTAGAAAAAAGAAAGTATCTAGCACATGACATGCAGGAGACACATACGAAGGGAGAGAAGAATTCCCAGGAACATAATGCTTGTCAGGATCCAGTAGTAGGTCCTGGATGGTAAGGTAACAAGTGAAGGGACTTGCAGAGATTTAAGATGCAAGTGACAGAAGTAAAAAAAGGCAGAAGTGTTTTGCCTGTGATTCTCCTTCAATCAAGCCCAAGTAGCAGCATGAGGCTACAGACAGAAGCAGCGACATCAGGAAGACTGGCTGTGAGTTCAGTGGCTGCATCCACTGAACTCACAGGTGTCACACTGCAGAAGGTCAGCAAAACCTCTGCTTGGTGGCTACTTGAAGCAGATAGCTGGAATCAGTGATGGAGAAAGAAAGCCCACACTTGAACACAGAGGCCAAAAACTTCTCTGAATTGGTACTGTAGAGCCAAGCAACTCCCAAGATAGAGCTGGCCACAAACCAATGCTGGAAAGGCATCACTCACCAGTGGGGAGTCCAAAGAACACTTATGGAAAGGAAGCAGCCAGCACATAACAGAGAACAACAGCTGCAGGTTTTTCAGTACAGACACTGTTTGGAATAGGAGTGTGAATACAGTGAAACCAACATGACTATGCCCAGGAAATATTTTGTAGGAAATACTTTGTTATAGTTGAAGGAAAATGCAATCCTCCAAACTGTGATACCCACTTTCAGTGAAGTGCAAAAGAAGTCAGTGAGGAAAATGTAAGCAGAATTCATTTCCAGGATCCGACTCAAAGTAGAAAAAGGCCATAAGTTGCCACCTGTCCAAATGGTCCAGTTCCAAAACCTCAGTAAATCAAATTCAATGACAAAATTTCATTCAAGGTAAAAATATCTTATTGAAATAGTTTACTGACTAACCACTGAAAGTCCACATTTAAAGTTGAGCTTTTATACAAGAAGCTTGAAAACACCAGTCAACAAGCATTTTTTCCAAAAGGACTACTTGGTTATGCACAATTCCAATCTGAATGGAAGTGTCCATTTCTCTTACTCATTCAGATCAAATGAAGTTTGAATGGAATAAAAAAGGATTGAAAAAAGCATTCTTCTGCTAATAAATTAATGAAGCCCAGGACATCACTACTATTGCATGGCATTAATACACATTGCTAGATAGATCATCTGGCTATGATGTGTTGCAGTTACTTCTTAACTTTAGCCAGAATGGAAACAGGCAACAGATCAGGAATCTGAAGGCTAATTCTTAATGGGTTGGTTAATCCAGATTTTATATATGGTTTTTTTTAATATAAAAGCTCTATTTCAGTCCTCACATTCAGGAGGAAGGAAAAGCCTGCCTAGAAACAAGCAAGAAACTGAAGGCTAAGTAATGAAATCTCCCCTTCCTCACCCCAGTCAGATGAGAACATGAAATTAAAGGGCAGGATAAGCTATGTTAAACATACAAAGAGAAACATAGAGGAAGCAAATTGGACAGGACTTTCTTCAGGCTGAACCAGACTTTGTTTCATTGTCCCCTTATAACATCTCTAGTCCTTGATTCATGCAAGACACGCATAGCAACTGCAAGCAAAGCAGCAGAGTAAATTATAGGGAACAAATATTTCCAAATAAAGGTAATACCAGCAAAGAGAACATATATCATGTAGACAAACCTCAGGGGAAAGAAACAAATAGACCAATAGTTCCAAAGCACTTATTTTAGCTAAAAGCCAAGAAGTTTGTTTTGCTAACCAAGCCTTTGTTGCAAGTTGTCATTTGATTGGTATTTTCAGAGGAAAAGCTATGCTTAACAGTAATTTGGGTGCCAACAACCAGTCTTACCACACTAAAATCATTATTTAAACTTGCAAATCAATCTTCAAGGTCAAGCAAAACATTTCAAATGTCTGATGTGAAATTTTACAAACAAAGCCTAAAAGTTCTCTAAATACACCAAAATCAATCCTTACATTTTGCAAGCACAACACACCATTTTACATCAACAAGAATTGACATTGAAAAGAAAAGCTTAAACTACCACGTGGCTACAAAGCTGTGCTTAAAAAGTTGAAAACCTAGGTAAATACATTTCAAAAATATTTATGAAGAAGTCAGATCCATGGCTTCTGGGAGTCATATGAAAAGCCTCTCATAACTCTTCCTGAAAAAAAGGAAAGTTTTCTAAATATTTTCAATTCAGTTACAACATATTTAACATATTCACCCTACAGTACCTGTCAAAGAGACCATACTATGAATTCTGCTTACATGAAAAGAAGCATAAAATAAAATGCTAAACCCCAACCAAAACAGTGCAAAAACAGCTAGTTACTGCAATGCAAGTATAATAGCAGGAAAAAAATCAGTAGCCATACACATTCCGTCTGCTTGGTCCAATTCAGTGTGACATAACCTTTTTTAATTTAATATTAAGAATTCAGCAAAATGAATTGAAAATGGAGTAGCAAAGTGCAGCACAATATTAATATATACTAACAAAAAGCAGACAAAAATTAATCTTGAACAAATCAGTTATTCTTAAAAACACAAGTGGGCATTCTCTGGTAACCTAGGAATGCCTAAAGCTTCTTAGTGAAAACCAATAAATAAGTAAAACAACAGAACTAGCTCACAACTGGTATGTGCCTCAAGTTAGGGAAACTGTCATGGGTGTGTTGCATCTATAATTTAAAATAAAACTGGACTGGGTAGAGAATTTTCAGAAATAGCAAGACTTCCCAGTATGTTGCAGGACTTCCATGCTTCAGAGTCCTCCCAGAGGATGGGATAGAGTGTATTATTAAAATGGACCCTTAAAACAAAACACAAACCATCCAACACAACCAGTTTGGATAAACCTGGCCACATTCAGCAACACCATGTTCACCAGAATGAGAAAAATTAATAACAAATCACAATGAAAAATGTGACAGCAGACAGCCATATGCTGCCTCACTACACCTTTTTGGAGGAAGTCAAGCATTTTCCAGAAGGAATTATTGTGCAAGCACATGGAAGGGATTAGATGACAAATGAGCTTATTGTCTGCAGAACCATGGCTTCAGCTGTCTGATGTCCTTTGAGACCAGAATCTGATGGCTGTCACACTGCTGAAGGTCACAAAACCAAAGCAATTCAGAAAACACTTGTGAACATAAAACAGATTCTGTAACTTGCTAAGTGAGATGGCATCACAACTGTAGCTCATGGACACTTGCTTCAATTTGCATAAACATCGGCTTAATCTTTTGTGGAAGTAGCTTCTAAGCAGCAAGAATGTGATACCAAGAAAGGAAGTATGCCACATAATACTTTTTCTTGTGCAACTGTATTGCTAGAAGTATAACATTTTCATTTTAGAAATCGTGATATTCAGCTAAACAAGAAAAACCAACACAATCCCAAAAACCCACGCCTCTGGCCAATTTTGAGAAGATTTTTTTTCTGAGAACATAAAGAGAACTCTTGTACTACATAACACTTCAGGAAAGATTTCTTGCTACATGCATAGGCTTTCACTGTAATTTTATCCTTAGAAGTCTTGCTTTAATTCAAGCTTGGCGCTTTTCTAAAATCTGAAAACATGTATATTTCAGGTTCAAGGACAACAACACTCTACACCGCATAAGGCTGCAATCTAAAGCACAGTTCTTGGAATCACCAAACACAAACGAGAAAAACCAAACCAAATCACGGGGAAATTCCGCAGCCCTGTAAAAGAATTCACGCCTGACAACAGCGCCCTCTACTGACAGAAAAACAATATGGTCTGAAATCCACACCGCTCAGGAGTGCCGGTATCAAATAAAAATACTGGGGAGCAATAATTAATTTACAATAATTAATTCTAAATTAAATTAATGACAGTGTTCAATTTTAATATTTTAATCTATCTCTGATTACAGAAAGACAGCTGTGTAGCTTAGGAAGTTATGCTGAAGTTAAGTCAAAAGAGAGATCACCCATGTATTTTTCAAAACCCCAGTACAATTATGAATTTGGGCTGTATGAGAAGAACAGGGATGGGCAATCATGTCTCATGGAAAGAAGTGCTTAAAACCGAATGAAGCAGCAGAAGAAGACTGAAACTGTTTTCCACACAATGAAAGGATGTCAAAACAGGCAACCTTAAGCTCACCAAAATAGAAACTTTAAGATTTAAAGTTCACAGTAACTTGTACAAATGTACCTAAACATTTAATCTGTCTGTTCACCCAAAGTATACTTGAGGAGAATTCTACAGAAACAAGATTCCAATATGTATCGCTCTCTCCTTTATAAAATACATGTGAAAGAAACATCAACCTGCATCAAGAACTGTGCCAGTGTATTATTAATGTAGCACGGAACTAAAAGACAAGACATAGAAAATCTGCAGAATTTGTGTGCCAGGCTGACAGTGTCAATTAACAGCAGGCAGTCTTCTTACAGAGCAGGCTTAGGATGCCACACAAAGCACCATGCAGATATAAAGAAATCACACCACAAACAGAAAGATAGCTGACTCTTAAAATTCCATTGCAGTTTCACACCTTAAAACAGAGAAACTGGATATAAGAAGAAAAGATGCAACAGCAGGGATCATTTTTAAAACAGACATTATTGCTCCATCAACTTTACGTTTTCTGCAGAAGAGGCACTTGAAGGATCCACACAGGTACATGCAGTTTCTGCCATGCAGATCAAGATGCAGCCTGTAGTCATGTAGTCCATATTCTGAGTCAATATCATCCCGTAAAGGTTTATTAGGTGGAGGAGAATATTGACTTGAAAAAAAAAAAAAGATAGAATTTAGCAAGGGGAGATGACTTAGTAAAGACATAACACATAGGCCAACATTGAGACTGTCATCTTAAGACAGTTTCAAAATCAAACACCTCTAGTTCATTATGCTTCTTTTAAGACACTAAAGTGTCTAATATTGCTGATCAGCTGTTCAGCCTACCCAAAGGCAGAAAATACAGCAGTCAACTTTAAAAGGTACATCTGTTAAACTTCAAAACATGGACTTGTCTACCAAAAAGAAAAAAGCACCAGCTCAACTACAAATATAAAAGTCCACTAGCTCTAGAGACTTCTCTGAAATAGCTAATATTGAAATAATTTTGTCTGTGGCTAACTAAGTAAGTACTGCACACAAGTGACCTAAAGAGACCACATGCCAGAGGCAACTGAGCAACTTCTACATAGGATTCAATTTAGTATTAAGGGAGATGGTGTTAAATCTTACATTCTGTGTGAGAAGAGCCACACTAAGTTATAGTGGGCATTTAAGACTACTGGTAGATACAACAGTATCTGACCAGAAAGCTGAGTGGGAAATAAATTCCCCAAATACTATTCTAAAGCTAAAAAATCATACAAACACTTCATAGGAAACCCAGCTACTTTCTCAAAAGGATTAAAAGATTAATGCAGGCACCTCACCAGTTGGTGAGAGAGTTTCCCCCCTCTTACACAGCCAAAGAATACTTCCCTACTTCCTGAAATGTCTCTCTCTTTTCTTTCTGTTTCAGATAGAAAGAGGAAATAAGAAGAGGAAATAAAGAGGAAATAAGAAGAGGAAATAAGAGGAAATAAAAGAGGAAATAAGAAGACTGCTTGTGGAAAGGGAGAAAGTGTGTGCAGTGTATTTCTATCTTTCTCAATATGGCAAGTACCAGTACACTTGTATAACTAAATTATCTTCTTAATAGCATAACAATGGCCATATTTTAGTATGAAAATGCTTCTACAGTTTTTTACTTAGTTGCTGTAACTGCTGTTTATATTAAACAAGAATAGTTAATTACTGCCTAAATATAAACCTCTTACCAGCAGCCAATTTTAACTATAAAATTCAAAGCTTTATTCAAAAGGTTATCTTTATTACTCACAAAGGAAAACCAAACTTACACAGTAGCAGAACCCAAAATGCTTCTCTCAAGAAGTTGATTATAATGAAGACTCGCCATAACAAAAGCAATTTCATTTTTCCCCTGAAAAGTTAATTAAAGTAGATGTATTTTCATCTGGAAATTCTTTTTTTCACAAGGTCTTTCTGAGCATTAAAATTCATAGATAAATGCTGCTGCTTATTACTCTGTCAATTACTATAATAATGTTAGTAATGGCTTGCTTTAACACTTGGATTCCTAAAACCTTTACTGTCTTTTCACAAGAGTACAGAATGGTTATAAAAGACTGCAACACTTTTGTATTATGGGGAAAGAAAGAGAAGCCAGCTATGCCAAGGCAAAAATTATGAGAGCAATCCAAGAATTGTACTTCCCTAGCTTCTACTTACCACTTTAAAAAAGATACCTAAACAGAATCAAACAGCACTTATTCCCAACTACTGAAGCATCGAGTTTATTTTCATGTGTGAGGAGCTATTTCCAAAGAGGGCTAACATCAGCGAGGAATACAGAATTATTCAATAGAAATTGCGAATTTCAAAGTAAAAATTGTGTCTTCACCAGATTATTTACTCCTGGGAAAACATTAAAAACATAACCCTCTATAGTCAAAGAAAACATCTATGTGAAAACTAAATAGAGACAGAGGTACGTATTTACTTCAACAACACAGAATGCTAGGATCCCAGGTTTTTTTCTTTAAATGCATTATTTAAATCCTACATTTACAAACACCCAAGTCAATAGGAAAATTATTCACTGCCATACTTTTCTGAAATATGGGCAACTACTGTTTTCATCTCTCTGGGTTACCAGAAAATTACATCCTCTATTCAAAGTTGTGGCTTTTTAACTACTCCTGTATTTTCATAGTACAAAATTACTGCTATAAAGGATTTAACTAGGGAGATCTATCAATCATATAATTTCTCAGCCTTTCTCTATCCAAATACCAGGAGGCCCACATAACCTGCCCTTGGTTTCTGTTATGCAGCTATGTACTAAAAAACAAGATGTGTGGCATTTACAATTATTACACCCACTGACACTTAACTACCTCATATTACTCTGCCTACACAGAGAGTAAGAACTGCTGTTCAGAAAAAGAAGCAGGGACTGTATGCTAGATTGAGGCACTCAATTTTTAACAACTATGTGGAACTTGGTTATGATTGAACCATTTTCAGGTGCTGAAAGAGCTCTCTTTCCAAGCATGGATGGGGCCAATGCATAAGCAAGACCACAGAGCCAACAATACAGGGACACCAGTCTACAAAACTTCCGAAGATACGAGAGAAATGGTTGTTCATTTAGCACAGTTTTTCATAGACTGAAACAACCTGTAACAGGTTTGTGCTGGTCAGGCAGTCTCAAGTTTTCTAGGAAGTAGACTTTCACTCTTATCTTTAAGAGTGAAAGAAATAGTCCTTCAGCAGTTTCCAACATTGCCTCTGGTGATTGTGCACATTTGAGGCACCATGTTTGCAGCTGGAAATTAGACAACTTCCGGGAATTGTTCACAGCCTCCCCATGGAAAGTTCCTTGCCAGTGCCAAATAACCTAAGTCGATGTCAACAGCATGACTGAGGGGAGGAAAAAAGAGCTGCCACCTCTGAATTGAGATCAAGAGCAGAACACCTGAGATAGGCTTCCATAGCACCCAGCCCTGCATAGCAACAGGCAGACAAAGAGGTCCCAGTGCATTCCATGCAAAGATGCAGACCCCTTTAGTGTAGAAGTCTACTTTAGATGTTCTGCACTGCCCTCTAAAGACACTCATATCTACATCCACCCTCCAGAGGCTAACTGCTTAACTTAGACTCTTAATACCAAGAATTTGATACCTCCAAAAGGGCATGATTTACAGCATGCCTACTGCTGAAGCAGGATACAGCTACCTGGTGGTGCAGATTAAAGCTAAGTTGCTACGTAGGAACTCATCACTTAGAGTGATATGGACAGGCAATGGCATGAATCACAGGAAGAAGCACTTCTCAAACCATTCTATTGAAAATTACTCTAGGATATCAAACTTGTGCATGTGAAGACTACAAAATAAATGAAATTAAACACAGTATCAAACACAGAATGATGCATAACTGATCTTCTAATTAGAAGTGGTTTTCTTTAATGTATATATACTCCAGTGACAGCTCTTTAGGATACAATAAATCATCCACTTATTGTCCCTACATGTGTTTCATGGTTACTGCTTTAGACAACATCTTTCAAAATCCAATGAGAAAAACAAAGAAAGATTTTTTTAAAAAACCCTCCCCAAACCCAAACTACAAGCCAAAAAAAAAAGAAAAAAAAAAAACAACAACCTCTTTTCTTTCAGATAATAATAAAATACTGAAACAAAATGTTATCTTACCTTCCACATTCCTACTAACAGTCCTGGACTCAGACTGAAAAGCTGGACAAGCTCATCAGCACCAACCACTACACTATTTTCAGTCAGGTTAGCAAGATGGTATTCAGCAATCAAGGAAAATCGACGAGGTCTTTGAAAAGAACATACAGAATGTAGCACAAGTTTATGTCTCCTTATTCATGTAAAAGTTCAGCCTGATTACATTTTTAACTCTGAAGTCTGACCAGCAGCACATTATGAAAATGGTTTTGAAAGCATTTAGCATGCAGAGTCATAAACTATACATGAGAATCTGAACCCTTAACAAGATAAGAAACAAAAAACACTATATGATCTTCTAAAATACTCTTTTAAAAAAGAACATATGTGCTTGCCCAACTTTTCAAAATACAGAATTACTTTACAATTTGTTTTTGATACTTTATTGATACTATATGGAATCACTGAACATTTATCACTGTGAAGCAAAAGTCAAAGGTAAGAATCAAATTGTATATATAATGAATTTAAAGTTTGTGTTATTGGAAGCTTTCCTTTTTTAGATTTTTTTTAATATTTTACCTATAATTAAAGCCATTTAGCTCCAAAACACTCTTAAATATAAGTTCATGGACACCCTTATTAACTAATGACACATTTAAAAAAGAGCAGAAAGTAGAGTTTGCATTACCTATTCAGAATGAAGAAAGAAGTCTTTCTAAAATCCTTTTCAGACTTAGGCTCTTATTATATTCAAAACAGTTCCTAGATTTCCACTGGTATCACTGTAGTATCACCTACAACTACACACTGAACACTGCCTGGGATGGGGCATCCACAACCTTCCTGGACAACCTGCTCCAGTGTCCCACCACCCTCACAGTAAAAAATTTCATCCTAATCAACATCAACCCTTTCCCTGCACTTACAGTCTTCACAGTCATCAGGCCTGTCCCTGCACTTACAGTTTTAACAATGACCAATACTGAAATTGGTGAATCCACTGCCTTCATCTATAGTCACAATTTGTAAAAACCTGTAACTCTGTGAAATAAGTACATCGATCACCTGCAAGTTTTCTTTTTTTATTTTTCTACATATGAATCTTTACATCTTGGTAAAACAACTACATTTCCTATATAATTTGACTGCAAGACTTGGTCAGCTAACTTTATACAAAAGCTTCTCTTGATTTTTTTAAGTAAATACTTTTCTTCCGGTTGAGGAACCCAGTGTTTTGTAGGTGAATAATTCTCTCTCTTTTCAGAGCTCTATGGCTAGGGGCTTTGTGTAAGAAGCATGTAGCTGACACTGCACCTCTATATACACAGGCCCAGACCTGTGCTAAGCTCCTTGACAGCAAACAAATACCTCAAATAGACACTTTTCATTTAAATATATTCTTAGACTATAATGTGAAAAACCATTGTACACATTTAAGTTAAAAAACAAGGGACAGGCTGTGGACTGTGTGACTTTATATGCATATGCTGAAGATTGCATGTGTAGTTAAACACCAAGTTCTCTAAATTCACACACACTCCTACCAGACAGAAAATAAATTTTAACAACATAGATTACCTGATTGTAGCCACATAAATACTGATGAACTTTTCCAAGCTAAATTTCTCACAATAAATTCTCCTAGATTTACATTTTTCTTTCATGCTCATTTGTGTCTATATCTCAGATTCAGCTTTCCAAGTCACGACCTATCAGTCTGCATATCACATGCCAATAGCTACATTAACCTATGAATTAATTCCATAGCTTGCTGGATTGTACTATTTCTTGCTGAAAAGCTCTACCAAAGAAGAGAAGAACATAGAAAGAAAATTGCAGGGAGGCTTTTGAATGAAGAGTTAACTTCTTGAGTCAAACAAATGTCAGATAGCTCATACAGACACATTATCAACCAGTTGCACCCAAAAAAATCCTCAAAAATCCTATGTCAAAACTCACCCATTCTTGTTGGGAGGTATGCTTTGGTCAGGAAGCAACGGTGTAACTCCAAATAGTTTCAGGGTTGACAGGATGTCTAAGCATGGCCAGTCTGTACCATGCCAAAGTACAGTAACAGACGTGTCCTTAAATGATAGGTTTGGCTTCTCTACTACATGTTCTTTTCCATTTTTGTCCTTTAAGACAATTATCCAACTCAACCCAGAGACTCTGTTATTTAGGAATTGAGAGGGGAGAGGGGTGTTTAAAAACAAATTCCCAAAGTGATAAAACTTAAACTATGCTTTCAACAGAATTTTTAAATTTCTACTAGCTGCTACTTATGTTCCTCAGTTTCAGTCATTTTTAATTATCATTGTATCTTCCCATTATCATATACATTTTTTAGCTCTAATTCTATATCCCCCTGAGTCATTAATATTTTGTACATTGTTCTCAAGTAAATCTTTGTGACAAGGCATTGCTTACTTCATAGCTTCTTTGTTTTTACATGGAAGACCTGTATAAGGATCCAGAAATTTAACGAGCCGCATTACTCTAGTTTTGAAGGCAGATGTTTTTTTGAAGATGTATTCTTTCTTCCAGTACCCAGGCTCTTTATCGTGTAAAGCAGCACAGCCCAAAGAAACAGTTTCTGTTTGTTTAGACTTCATTTTCCAAATTGTCCATTTTGGGTGCAAAGAGCTGGAATAGAGTTTCAGCCAAATTCCACTGAAAATAAAAACAGAATAAAGAGGAATAAATTTCAAGAATAGTCACTTCATTTTTTATATGCACATCTCAGCTACCACTGAGCATAGTGTTAGCACAAAACAAGTCTCATCTGTCTTCCCAAAGATATGGGAGCCAGGATGAAGCTCTGTGATAGCACAGTCATAGTCAGCAAAGTAAGTGAAAACTGACAAAGGTTAAGCAGAAAATTTTGAAAATTCTACCCCAAAACAATGATTTGTCCTCCTCATAGAAAATCAGCTAGTGGGAAAAGTGGTTTAATACCTCCTATTCAACAAAGATAATCTGTACACTTCAAGTTTCACAGATCCAGCTGAAAGTGGTGTGGAGGAGGACAATTTAGAATCACCTTTGTTTGGTGGTATCAATGTCATGTTGATCTCTTCTGCACTCTCTTTGGGAAAGCCCAGAGAAGACATTACTTTCTGAAGTCAAAGAAATGTGACTGTAATGATGGGCTCATCTCTTTCACACCAGGGAAACTATGAGGTCACATTTCAGCCTCTCATACCCCAGTATCTCTAGGACAGTTCACAGAATATTGAGTACAGGAACCTACAAGAACTCAAAGAATAATCTTGTGAATACAGGTTGCCAGTAAGTTTTCTCATTCTGAAGTGCTAGACACATAGTGTACATAACTGCACTAAAAAAAAAAAAATGAATAGCAAGGGCAACAAATTCTTAAGACATTTTCTATCACTTATCAGCAAGATTACCTTTACCAGTTCTCACTTATCCTCAGGCAAACTTACACTAGTGAGTATTGTATGGCATCTTCCCCTCTCCTCAAAGCATCCAAGGACTAGATCCATCCCACACTGCCTCCTACCCATCAAAACTATTCTCAATTCATCAGCCACTGAGAATAAGCCCCCACATGCTGAGAGCCAGGCTCTGCTTATTGATGCAAACCTATTCAGGGATTTTGCAAAAACCTTCCAGCCTGCTGCTCTGCAGATATATACAGAATTCCCCACTGCCATTTTTTGAGACAAAAGTGTCTAAAACACACAGACCAGTAAGCTACTGTGACTTGTAAAAGTGGGTCACAGTCAACATGAGTTTTCAACCTTCCTTTCACCAAAAGCAGGGTGGGAAGGGTAACATAAAGGACAATCCCATAACTGAAACAGATTTTTAAGATACCTCTATTTTAAGATCATAAAAGGCAGCCAAGTTACCAGATAATATAAAACATTTCTGATGGAGAAGGAAAATTCTTTTTTAACAACAAAGCTGTTTAGAATTGTCCAGTGATGAAAAAAAGGAGAGATGTCCTTAACACATCACCAGGGGAATTTGAGCTGTGTATCATCCAATTGGTCTTCATCAGCCTAAAAAGTCCAGGAAAAAATAACCTCCTATAGAACTCTCCTGTTAACTAGACACCCCTTCCCAAGACAGACATCCTTTGATGGAGGGAGATACTCTGCATCTTACTGTATGATGCTGAAAAGACAGAGCCCTCTCTAGTAGTAGGCATTTCCTGCATTTTGAAGTTGCAGACTCAAGCAATTTATTTGACTGAAGATGGACTAATGACAAATACCTACCATCCTCATCCTCACTCTCAGTAACATATTGCTTCTTCCTTTCCCAAAACAGTGTTGTGCAAGCAAAGAAATTAGTTCAAGAAACTCAAAAATTCAGCTAGGGCAGGGTGACAGAGAAGAAGATGAAGGAAGACTTGGAATCACAAGTGTTTAGGAAGGTATCACTGCCCCTTTATCCTCAACTTCTGAAGAATTCAGGACAGATAAATCAAAAAGGCATCCAACAGGGAAGCACAAGCTTGCCTCTTTCACAACAGAATACATGCTCTTTTTGCCTCAAATTATTAATACTCATCTCAAGGCCTCTTACTGGACATTCCTACGACAAGCCTTTTACTCTAATTCAAATGCCAGAATCAGGCACATCATCATCAGCCATGACAATGCCCAAAAGACCCTGTGCTCTCACTTCCTCTCACACAGGCATGTTCTTCTGGTGATCAGAATCCTCAAGTTTTTGCAGGCAGACCATATCTGTGGACCTCCCACACTGCATGATAGGGAGGTTGGAATGCCCCATGCTGGGACACGGAGGGTGCAGAAAGGGATGGGGGTGGTCATAAATATTTTCTTGTCTTCAACAGCTATATTGGAGACATCAGTGCCAAGAACTGCTCAAGCACACTCATTATATGAACAGCCAAAAGACAAATCACTGCATTAAGCAGCACAGACATACCACAATGAAAGACTGATGTTCCTGTTGCATCAAGGACAGCACCCTGTACATCAAGGACAGAAGAAGTATCCTAAAAAAGATACTCCGTCTAAAAACCAAGGTCAGATTTGTCACAGAAGTATGCAGGGACTTCAACTAAAACTTCTGTTCATATACTGCAAGACTCAGGGTCTTAAGAAGGTCCATTAAAATCCATCAGGAAGAAATGACCTGGGCCCACTGAACAAGTCAGGCTCCTAGATAAGGGAAAGCAACTCTTCCCCAAGTCCCATTTGTGCACTTACACTAATCTCTGTTGAGATTAGAAAATGGAAACAGAGATCGTCAAGATGGAGACAGATGAATCATCTTCCCCTGGACAGCCACAGTGATTTTATCCTGCCTTACCACCTGAAGTGGAAAACACATGCCAAGACTGGTAATTTGTGTCAACTATGCAATTTTTATCTACCCTTACCTGCTGATAGCCTCAAAACCTAAATCTGGATTACAGATCTTCCCTTTAAATTCATCAGTTCTAAAGGTATCAATGCCAAGGTAAACCAGTTGATTCACCATACAAGTTTCAGTAAATAAGGGAGAAATAGATTAATACCAGGTACAGCAACTTCCTATAGAGGAAGGCATTTTCTCATTCAAACAATACTAATGCAGTAGAATCCTAGAAAGAAAAGGATGCCCACATCCTAGTTATGACATACCAACCAGGGTGTCTCCTCTTTACCCTTTGACAAAATTATCATCATATTGGAGCAATTTATAAACTCTGAATAAGCAATCCTTATTAAAAAAATGTGTTGGTATTTATCTTTGTCTCTTTTGTTCGCATTAGAAATCACCAACATTTCACAAACAGAGCAACAGATAAAAACCACTAGTGGATCACTTGATTGAATCAATCCCTCTGCAAAAAACTGATGAAAGAATTAAGTAAGTAGGACAGCAAAATTGTGAAAGCTATGACAATTTCATAAAGCTGCTGGAGACAGACCATTAAGGATCACCTGAACTGAGAAGTTTGTGCAGGTCCATGTGAATACAAACAGAAATTTTAAAACAAAAAAAGTGCCAACAGCAACATTTCAAAGTACTGGATTTAGTTTTTGCCTCATAACTCCCACTAAACAACAGGCCCTACAAAGCTAGAATTCCATGCAACACATGCTGTGGGCTGTGCAGGGCAATTTCAGCAGAGTAACTGCCCATAGGTGCATGCATCAGTGCTCTGGCATCAGAGAAACTAAATTAGAAGGACTCATAATTCAGGCAAACACATCTACTGCACAGCTGAGATGTTCCCTCTTCCTTACTTATCATTGGCCAGCTCATGGAAGCGCTTATTCACACAACCAACAGCCAATAGGGACACAGCATCCAAATAGGAAAATATCTTTAGCAGCATTTCTGATGGCATGCTGGAAAAGAAAAGAAAAATGAATACTGTTAGACATGCCTGCAAACTCCAGAAATGACAATGGCAGAGAATTTTAATTTCAAACCAGACAAAAACAAAAGAGGTGAAAACCAGCAGGTTGTAAACAGATGAATCAAAAATTACCTGAAGAGTTAAACTGTGGAGTTTGAGTTCTAATTTCATTCTCTGGTATGTGGCATTTGCCTAAAATAATTCATGACAACTTATTCAAGTGGCACAGCACAATTACCTGAAAAGTTATGGATTTGTACTTTCAATAAACTTTGTTAACTTTAACTATGTTTAACATGAAACCACCTTGTTTTGCTTCACAAGCAGTTTCTGACTGCTTGTGCCATGATTTTAACATTTTTTCCAAAACCAGCATTTGCAAAACTGCAGATGCTCCCTTTTGACTGCTGTGTCAGGTGTCAGGAAGCACCAGGACAGAAATGTCCTGGTCTAACAGCAAGATCATGCTCTACCTCATCATAATCTTCAAACTGTACATGCTCAGGTGTCTTGTGCAGTTTTTATTTATGTCAACAGAAAGATGTGAACTTCAAAGTAAGAGCCAAGTGATATCTTGAAAATGCCAATGTCTCTGTGCATCTGGAAGGCTGCCTGAAATGCAGGTGCCAGTCTAAGCATGGCAAGCAGAACATACCCTGGAGATGAGCCAATGTGATTTCTGCATTGACAGGAACCTCATACCATTTGAGCAGAGTTTAAAATACATGCATTTTATACTCTAATTTCCTTGAGCATTGAGTATGGCCACATCAAAATCACCACTGAAAATAAAAGGTGCTTTGAAAGTCAATACTCCAGCTGTGCCTCTTGTCCTTTTACTACTGGGTTATTTGCAACACTTGTTGATTAATAACACTATTTCAGAAGCAGAGAGCTTTAAAGGGTAGCATGATAATGCCAATATGTCAGTGTTTGTATTAAACTCAGAATCTTAGTTGCATTGACATAGAAGCAACATGCCAAAACTGGCACTGTTATTATGTGAAATAACTTATACACTGTAAGCCCAAAGCAGTTAGTGCACTCATTCCAGAGATAATTTAGAAGTGATACCTTAAAAGGCTGCAGATTAGCTAAAATAATACACTTGATCCAGAATTTTCAACCATATTCTTTTTCTTTTGGAGGAAGCTGAAGGGATTTTTTTTTCTTTTTTCTCTCACCATTACACCCATCTGACAGCACTGAAATACTAAACTGGCCATCCAATGCAAAACAGAGAAATCAATACACAGGAAGCTATCATGTAGCCATTTTATTTTCTGAAAAATCCTTTCCTTAGGATTTTTTCTCCTGAGAAGCTGAGAGGCCTCAGGAACAAAATGTAAACAATGGTTATCTGCTGCTGTGGAATGCAACAGGTAGATCTGTGATTGGTCTCATGTGGTTGTTTCTAATTAATGGCCAATCACAGTCAGCTGGCTCAGACTCTGTCCGAGACACAAGCATTTGTTATCATTCGTTCTTTTTCTATTCCTAGCTAGCCTTCTGATGAAATCCTTTCTTCTATTCTTTTAGTATAGTTTTAATATAATATATATCATAAAATAATAAATCAAGCCTTCTGAAACATGGAGTCAGGTCCTCGTCTCTTCCCTCATCCTCTGACCCCTGTGAACACCCTCACAATATCAAATGTATAAAACAAGGAAAACTAATTACTTTCTCAGGTAACATATTCTTAGAAATTTTTTGTGTAAAAATGTAACTAATTTTCAAAAAGAAAACTCACAATTATACTGAAAGTGCCTTTTCACTGTCAAATAAGAAGAGAAACATTTACCTTGTAGCAAATATGCAGCAGCCACTTATTCCTCCCCCTCATCCCAATCCACCATTCTCAGGCCTCTCTATACACTAAGATCCACTTGATGACTACCAATAACCAAGAGACACAGAAGCAGTTGAATTCTGAACTGGCTTTCATTGAAGGAATAAAATAACAATTTTTATTCTCAAGGAACAATATTGCCCATGACTTGCAAAGGAGTTGCTGAAGGCTTCACATGGCTTGGAAAACGTACATACTCCTTATGAATTTAGAAAAGAACACAAAAGAAAACCATGCCAGAAAACATTAGAAGTTGGACACAGGATCCTAAAGTAGGCCAGGAAAGAAAATCTTTTCAACTCAGTGTATCTGACCTAGAAATCTCTAAGATATGAAAATAATTACTGCAAGCAGTCAAAAGACAGCTTACAGGGGGACTTCCACTCTTACTCCTAACATAAAGCCATACTCACCTCTCAATGCGCACATTTGGTTTCCGTTTTATGGGAGGTGTCAAGTGCAAACTTTTAATTCCAGCATTTACAGTTTCAGAACATTCCCCAGGCCTTGTAGCAAAGGTTCTTAACCTACTTGTAAGAAGGAAAAGCTGTTAAGAGTCACATATTCACAAAATGAAGAAATACACATACTGTGCACACTTAGACACAATATTTCAACCAATGCAGGATGCAGGGAATACATCACATGACAACCATTATTACTTGAACAATTACACCCAAGTTAAAATACCTGGCATGAGGAAGATTCAGATTTAAACTCACAGCTGTCAATCCTGTGATACATCTCTCACAGCAGCCAAAGGGAATAACAGTGTTCCCCCAAATCAGTTTGAATGCAGTGGAGATCTATTATCCTTAGACAGCAGCACCACCGCTTGGCCACCACAACCAAGCTCCCACTGAGGCCCCTGCAGTGAGTCAAACTCACTGATTAATCTTCTGTTTCACAACATTACTCCAGAGATATTTTTGAGCCACCCAACTCTTCTAAGTTATTAAAAGATACCAGATAAAAACAATACCTTGAAACTTCTCAGAAACTGTTATGGTTCAAAAAGAATTCGTATACTTTTATACTCTACCATGCTCTTTACTTGCATGAACAGCAAGAAAGGAGATTTAACCCATGAAACAGAGAGCAGATAACAAGCTCTCAGGGATGTCCAGATGTTAGACAGACAAATTACTTGTTGGTAGAATTGCTTTGTTAAGGTTTAGAGCTTGACATGCTTCACTGATTTCAGACCTAGGGGGAGGTTAACAAAGCTTGGGAAGAAGGATGGCTACTACTAGCGGACACAAAGAATGCAGAATTCACAGGCCACAAGGATACCTGGAACAACTCCCAAGATAACGAAGAAACTATTAAAGCCAACTCAGTAATTGTGCTGAAATTAGCTCCAGCTTCCAGAAATGTGAGATCATGATCACTGACCCAAGAAACTCACTGGCTCAAAAAAGATAAAGACTGAGCATGCAAATTAGCATGAAAAGCAAGAGAATCATTATCCAATAGAAGATAGAAAACTTATTAATAAGAGAATTATGTAACTTGTAACCAGTGAAAACTAATTCCTTCCTTAGCTAAAATGTATAAAATAGTAAACCGTATTGATAGTTGGTGTGTCAGCTTTGTGGATTCACCACCCAGCATCCCCTTCTGTGCAGAACTGTAAAGACATCAAAAACCTCAACCCTGTGTCTGGATTGGCCTCTTGCACATCACAGTGAAAGAACCTATTTTGGCAACACTTCCAGATCACAATTTGGATAGAAAAGAAAGGAACTTTGCAAATTTCTAACACAAATTCTTGTAATCCAACCGCTCATACATTTCTCCAAGTTTTCTGATAAGAAGGACTTCATAAGTTATAATTGCAAGCAAATACTATCATTAACCCACAGAGAAATATGGAGACAGAGTTTCAATCTTAAACCAAGTACACCAAGTGGGCACAACTCCCCATTCACTGCATTATTGATATTTTAAATTGCCAGCAGATTTCCAACACCTGGCCAAAACAGCTCTGGGTTTCTAGGAAACCAATCCATATTGGGGGGGGGAATAGCTATTTTTAAACTATATGGCTACCATATACATGTAATACCTACTGATTTTGATTTAAGATTGATTTATGCTCAAAGAAAAAAAAAAAGAAATTAACAACTCTGGTCTACATTGTCAACTGCACTATGTAAAAAAAAAAAAGCAATCCAAGACATTTTACTGAGAATTGTTATAAGCTTAACAAAAAGAAATGCATATTTCAGCCTGGGTGCCAATCACTGATAGACCAACCAAATTAACAACTACAAAAAAGTAGTCTTATAATAAAGATAATAGAACCTGGAGATCAAACAAGGGTTTTACTCATGTATCATTATCAAGAACTCCTAGATGATGAGGCACTAACAAACTGCCAATAAAGGGATTTAGAAACACAAGTTGTGATCAACAGCAGCAGCACTATCACTTCTGTATGTTTCAGGGCAGCACATCCCAGGCTGGTCTGTCCTGAATCCATGCTGAAAGCAGAGTTTGGGCATACTCTATAGGGACACAACTTCACGGACTCCAGCCATGGGACTAATTCAGATAAGAAACTGGATTCTGGATTTTAAAACACACTACCTTGGACAAGCATAACCTGCATAGCCTGTATTCAGTCCTTCTTGCTCATTTAAACCGCCCCCCCTTTCTTCACCCCACGGAGAAATATCTGAGGAAAGAAACATTTTGCCCACACATGCCTTGAAAAGTTTAATGTAACAGCTATTGTTTTTGTAAACTTCAATTTTAAAAAAAATGCAGAACTTTTGCATCTTCCAAAACAAAAATATTCTCAAGGTGTGAAGAAACAAACAGCAAACCCAATCCATAAATTACTTTTCAAGTACTGTGGGTGCTAAGATTTTAAATTAGCATTAACAGAATGCTTTTACATTGCATTGACACAGCTTGAGCAGACAAGCCTAAGATAAAATCAATGACAGCTGTTACACCCCCTCTTCAGAAACTTCTAGAACCACTGAGATGATCTTATGTAAGAATCACAACAACTTCAATTGCTTTTTCATTAGCTTTCAACCTATGTGGCTCAGTTTTGTACCAGTATTTTCACTTTCACACCCTGTAATACTTGCAGTGTGCCTTGGTTTTTTGATGGTCAGCAAACAACTGTCTTTCAAGTAACATTTCAAATAACAAAACAAAGTTTTAAGTAGTGATAACACCGCTACCTGTTAAAGTGTATCTGGGGATAAACAAAAATAACAATAAGGTTTTGACATGGGTTGGTTGGGTTTTGTTCCCTCAGCTAACAATTTCAGTCTTTTTAAAGGTGGGTATTACCCCAACCCATTTGCAGATTAAAAAAAAAAAAAAAAACCACCAACATACAACCAAAAACAGCAGGGAAATGAAACTGCTCTGAAACTCAAGATTGAAGAAATGGGTTAGCAGAAAAATCTGCTTTCTCAGCTTTGCCTCTCAGACTGATGCTTTAAAATTTTGAAAGCTAAACCTGTACTGTAAGAATTTAGGTAATCACACCTTCCACAGTGGAATCCTCTTATTTATTACAGAGGCCTAACCACATAAGGTAGACATTAAACTAACTTTGTGGATTCTCACTATAGCATCTCCTCCAAGCTGAAGGACATACCGAAGTTTAAGCTCCCCTTCCCAGGCAGAGAAAAAAGTGTTAAACCCAGGCCTCCGTGCACCTGTAACACCAGCGTTTTCCCACTGCAGGGTGTCCGTAGGGCCAGGGGAAGGGAGAGCAGAGCACTACGCCCCCAGCCCTGGCCGTGAAGAGTAAAGAGCTAGAAACCAGAGCCGTGAAGCAGGTGAACTAACTTTCCTAGAGAAGCAATGGGAGTGAGGGAAAACAGCAAAGCACCCTCCCCGGAAGAGGTGAAGAAGGCCGAGCAGGCAGCCCCGGGCCGGCAGAGCCCCGCTCGGCGCGCCCGCGGTTACCTGCCACGGCCCGTCGCCATGGCCGCTGCGCCGCGGGACAGCGGCGGCCTCGCACCCCCAGCGGGGAGGGCAGGCGAGGAACAAGCGCTGCCACTTCCCGTGGAACGCCCTGGGGCGGGGTGGGACGGCGGCAGCCCGAGGGAGGCGGTGCCCGGAGCGCGGGCTAGGGAAGGCGGGGCGGGAGCACGGCCGTGCGGGGACTCGGGGAGCGTTAACGCCCGGGGAACGGCAGTGCTGCCGCCGTGAGCATCCTGGCGCCTCCCCCGCACCACAGGGAGCTCGGAGCTCTCGGGCACTGTGTTCTCGGGTCTCAGAATCACAGAACTGATTAGGTTGGAAAATGCCTCTGAGATTACTTAGTCCAGCCTATGACCGAGCACCACCATGTCAATTACACCATAGCACTATGTCAATTCCACTATGCGCCAATACCAGTTTTTCCTTAAACATCTCCAGGGTTGGTGGTTCCACCACCTCCCTGAGCAGCCCATCCCAATGCCTAATCGTCTTTTCTGTGAAGAAATTCTTTCTAATGTCCAACCTAAACCTCCCCTGGAACAACTTGAGGCCATTTCCTCTTCTCGGAGAGCAGGCCATCTCCCACCTGGCCACAGCCTCCTTCCAGGGATTTGTAGAGTGATAAAGTCCCCCTGAGCCTCCCTTTCTCCAAGTTAAACATCCCCAGCTCCCTCAGCCACTCCTCATAAAACTTGTGCTCCAGCTTCACCAGTTCCATTGCCCTTCTCTGGACCTACTCCAGCAGCTCAATGTCCTTCTTAAATCGAGGGCTTCAAAACTCAACTCAAGGTGTGGCCTCAACAGTGCCAAGTACAGTGGGACAATCTCCTCCCTAGTCCTGCTCACAATACTGGTTTTGATACAGGCCAGGAAGCCATTGGCCTCCTTGGCTACCTGGGCACACACTGGCTCACATCCTTTTCCACCAGCACTTTTCCAGCCACTCTGTCCCCAGCGCTGCCTGCGGTTGTTGTGAGCAGGACCCGACACTTGGCCTTGTTGAACCTCATGCCGTCCATCTCAGCCCATTGATTTAGCCTGTCCAGATCCCTCTAGCCGTCTCCATCCGCGGAAACCTCAACTGCATCGTTTTAACACATATATGCGTGCAAGACCAAGAAAAACGTGTATGAAAACACAGCTTTACAAAGGTGACCGGCACCGCACGCGCGGCGAGCAGCCCCCCGCCTTCCCACCCCTGAATGGAGCCGGAGCCCCCCGCCCGCAGAAGGCGGGCTGTGGCGGCGGCAGCGGCGGTGGCGGCAGCGGCGGTGGCGGCGCTTGGCATGGCGGGCGCTGTAGTGACCTCGCTGGGAGTCGCTCCCGGCGGCGGGCGGGAGAGGGAGCCCGCTCAAACTACCGCTCCCAGGGCCCGCGCCGCCGCTCGCTGCTCCGCCGTCCCAAACATTTCCGCCGGGGCAGCGGCCAGCGGCGGCCGGCGGCGATAAAGGTTCAGGTGGGCTCCTGAGCTGGAGCAGCGGTCATCGGGGCGGGAGGCTGCCCGGGCACTTCCCTGAGGGCTCCCCGGTGGCGAGCGGCACAAACTCTCCGTTCGGCTGGCCTGCGCTGCCGTGCCCCTGTGAGGGCGGCGGGGGCCATGCCCGGCGTGCTGCCCCGGACGCTGCCCGCCGCCCTCGGGCGGGGCTGCCTGGGCCGCTGGCTGCTCGCCACTCGCGGGTGGGCGCTCCTGGGGGCCGGCACCCCGTCCTGCTCCTGCCCGCGCTGGCGGCACCAGCCCCCGCTGCTGCTCGGGGCCGCCCGTCGGAGCTTCGGGACGCGGGCGGGAGGGCTGAAAGCTGCAAAACCTGGAGATAATAGCAAGGATGTGTCCGTGCAAAGGGCGCTGAACGAGGAAACGCTGGTGTCGGCAGCTCAGAAAGGTAAGGCGGAGGATGCTGTGTGCTGCTCAGAAGGGCTGGAGGCTGTTCCTTCTGCAGCCAAAGTTTTGTAGTTCCAAACATCAAGTATCTAGAAAAAAAACGATCTCAGCACACCAAGCCGGATTCTTTTCCCATCGTATTGTTTGGAGGAGATGTGTATGCATTGCACAATCAGACCAAATAATATGACTTCTTCTAAACAGCCTGTTGATTTAAGTAATTATCAGGCACAAGATGTAATAGCCCCTCGTTTTCCTTTTCAGAAGGAAAACCTATCATATGCGGCCTGTCTGTACGGATGTTGAAATAAGTTCACCTCCAACAAAATTGTCAAAGCTCGACATGTGATGGTAGTTTCTTTATGGATTGCCTTCACTTTAGTTGGTCTCATTCACTTCAGTGAAAAGTGGTTACTATATAATTAGCCTCAGAAAATTTAAGTACTTTGAAATGACTTACGAAAAACACTTTCAACTGATTAGAAGACTGCAGGAGAAGTAGTTATTAATGTTTCCTCCATAACTTTTACTCCACTGAAATGCACACTTTATCACTAAAAGATAGTAGTCTCTTTCCAAGTACTCAAATATTTTGAAACAGAGAATCTCCTATGACTTATTTTGTGGTATATACTAACACTTGTACTTTAGATCAAAATTGAAAGATAAAAACTAGTCAGACAAACAGCAGTTAATGTTAAAAAATTATTTTGGTGTAATATTCCCCTTTTTATTTTTCTATTGATTGCAAATTCATAAAATCAGTTATTTTCAGTGTGTGCAACTTATAAGCTTTTACTTTATTATTTTTACTTCTTTTCTTTGCATAAGGATTTCAGTGGTTGTGGGTTTAGGTAGTAGCATGAATGCTACAGTGCTAAATCCCTCATTAGTTCCTGAAAAATCTGGCTCTCATGCACCCAAAAAGTAGCAGTAATTGCTACTTTAGATCTTGAAAACATCTGGCAAACAAAGTAACACAGAGATGTAAATATGCCCTGTACAATATAAGAGATGTTCCATGGTCTCTTTTACATCAATGAGGCATTAAGGAAACTGTTACTGGAATTTTTTCTTCTGCTAAAATGTTATTTGAGCTACAGACTAACAATAGAGCATTTATATAAGAAAGTCATACAAATGTTATTATCCAAGGTTGTAACTTATGTGCTGTTTTCTGTTTAATTTCAGTGAAAGAAGCTGGAAGAGACTTTACCTATTTTATTGTGGTGCTTGTTGGAATTGGTGTTACAGGTTATTTTTTTAAATTACATTCTTTATCAGAACACACTTTTCATTAATTCCACCTGGTTTGAAAAGTTTTCATTTCATCTGATGTTGTTTCTGTTACAGGTGGTTTGTTCTATGTGGTTTTTAAAGAGCTGTTCTCTTCTTCTAGTCCAAATAAGATCTATGGAGATGCCTTGGAGAAATGCAGATCTCACCCTGAGGTTGGTTTTTGAACTTAAGTCCGAAGTTTTTGTTTCTCAGTAGCTACTGTCTCTCTTCAAGTCAAAACTTTGTGCAAGGAATCTCACAAGCTACCTGAAGCCCCACGTGGTGCTTGAGCAGTTCTGCCAGTGCTTTTAGCTGGCATGGGGTGGCTCAGCTCCAGAGCCAAGCCTCCATTAGGACAAGTCAGTGCAAGCATTGAGCTTGTCTGAACTAGCCTGCTAGAAGCCAACTAACTGTGCCACAGACCAAAAACTGATGGAAATACAGTCTGCCCTTCAGAGCATGTGCTTGTGTCACCATACAGAAAGTCTTGGGGACTTTTCTGAGTGCCTGCTAAATGTAGCACTTGAATTCTGCAGGTCAGAGATGCAGCTGGTCCCACTAAGCTCTGTAGATCTTACTTGCTGCCTTTTCTCAGCACACTTACTCTATTATGACACTTCACTATCGTTCTATCATTCTGTGAGGTGCTGCACTGATAACCAGGAATTGAAATTTTTTCATTTTGAGCACTATTAGCATTCTTTTGGCTACCTGAAAAACAGGTGGAGAATAGTCATGGGATCACACAGTTGTCATAGCTAGATGTAGACAAAAATCAACATGAAACTAAAGTAAAAAAAAAAAAATACTTCAGACAAAACATCCTTCAAACAAGGTTGCCACAGATGCCTTTGAGGATAACCTAGAAATTAAGTGACAAGTTGTTGCTCAAATAAAAATGAAGACTGCTTGGAAACAAGTTTGCAGAATTAAAATGTCTTTCTAGTACTCGCACAGTAAAACTTAACCTCCCCTTCTAACCAAATTTAAAGTAAGTTTAAGACTAAGTTGAACTTCTCTGACTCTATAGATCTGAAAAAAGATTACTAAATTTCTTATTCAGTAGTATTTTTTAGATAATATGAAGGGGAGTGCATTTGCATTTTAAACTTCAAAAGATATTCTCTTGGAGGAGATGTGAGCAAATATTTTTTGCTTTTTTTTTTTCTTTTTACACAAAATGTCAGTTTACATGTCTTCATCTCAGAGAACAGTACAAATGGAGGATATCAATAGGATTTATTTTAGACATTTAATAACGGGACTGTAAAGAATAAAAAGGACTGGAATACAGAGGAGTTTTCCTTAAACTGTTTTCTTTCATAAACACTTCTATTCTTGACATGTTAAATTCTCCAGGGGCATTTTGTTAAAAGAAGATGTATTCACAGCAGAGGCAGAAGCTGATACTGGAATACCTGTTTTTATGTGATCCTTTCTGACAGCTCAAACCTCTTTTCTCTTGTAGATAATTGGTGTTTTTGGTGACTCTATCAAAGGTTATGGAGAGGCAACAAGAAGAGGAAGACGACAGCATGTCAGGTACCCCTTGGTGTTTGCCCCATAAAGACATCAGTTTTTTGCACAGCAAAGATATTTTTGGATTACAAGTTAGTTCTAGAGTGATGAACTGTTTGTGACACATCCTGTCACTTTTGATTGAACATACAAGTTTTTTGCAGTACCTCTTGTGTGCCATACACCACTAAGTACAGTGTACATAGAATATAAAATGCCAATTCTGAGTGCCTCAAAACAAGCAATGTCATCATGGTAGACAGAGAGCTCTCCGAAAAATAGGATGAGTCTGCAAAGAGTAGTACAGAGGCCTAGGCTTGCATGGGGGGGAGCAGTAATCTGACAGAAGTTTACAGTCTGAAACTATACTGAACTTTTTTGGTACTTGAGGCAACATCTCTACTGTGTATTTAACAGAACATCTATCACCTAAACCTTTCATGAGTCTCTCTATTACTTTCCTTTTGAAAGAAACAACAGAATTATTTCTTACAAAACATAAGTCCTCCCTGCTTTATTGGGTTATTTGGCAGGAATATATTCAATGAGGTTTCATATAGAATGAAACACATAAGCCCAGACACAGGTTGAACCATGAAATTGAGATTTTTTATTTTGTCTGATGAAAGTGACTTTTACTCGTTGAAGCTTTATCTCTTCACCAGACTCTATGAAATAATGTTTAAAGTGAAGCTGCTAAATGAAATTGATGTGCACAAACATTCTGAGCACGTGTCTGTAAATAAGTAAATTTACTATGAATCAGCTTTCCTAGTATTTAATTTCCATAATTTTGAATGCCTTGTATTTTAAATAAATTTTTGAGCTGAGAACTAGGTAAGATTGTAGAGTTTGCATCTGCAGTATAAGAATGATTTTAAATATTTATCTCAAAAATCTACAGGGTTTTCTGTGTATGAACACCTTGAATGTAAATTTACTGGAGTAAGGCTCTTTGTTCATATTTGTTCTCTCTACCCCATCATGTCACTTTAAACTGTATTGGAAGTTTATTTCACAGTGTGTACCTGGGCATGCCTTATAGAAATAAAGATTGGTGCTAAACAGCAGTTAATAATTTCAGTAGGAAACATAAACTGGCACCAGAACTCTCATGGGATCATTAGTTTCCCAAAGTAGTCACTTTGAAAGTGATGTGCTATTTATTTAATACATGAGCATAACCCAACTCCAGTCTAAATTCCAGCATTTAGGTTGGAGATCTCAAACAGTGCCAAAGTTACACAATTTTAGCCGAACAAAATTATTGCTAAAGTAAAGCACATAGTAAACTGTTTGTTTTGATGTGGTTTAACGAACCTGACAATTAATTTGGAAAAACATGCTCTGTATGTTTTGGCTTGATGACTTAGTTTAAGTGCCTAAGAAAACTCTGGAAGTCTTGGTGGTGTGGGGTCCCTTTTTAGCTGTCGGGCTCCAAATCTCCAAGTCAGGGTTTTTTTACAATAAATACAAGGAATTTCCATAGTCTTCAGCAGTGGATTGCTTTTCAGTTTTGAGGGGAGGACTGGGGTGAGGACATTTAAGCATTTAATCTCTTAATGCTCAGCAGCTAATTAGCTCTTCTAACTCCACTAGTCCTTAGGCACTCACAGTAAAGCTTGAGAGGAGCAGTAGAGAAGGAAGCCAAGGTAGCATAAGGACACCACCGGAATACACTTTCTTACAAAATAAGTAAGCAACTCCTCTAAGTAAGTTTAAATTTGAAGTCTTAACTAGCATATAATCTGTATTCTTGCTGGGTGGTTGGGTTTTTGTTTTGTGTTGCTGTTTTTAGTCACATTGAATACGTAAAGGATGGACTGAAACACATGCGTTTGAAGTTCTATATTGAGGGCACTGAATCAGGGAAACAGGGAACAGTCCATGTGGAAGTCAAAGAGGTATGTACAATTGCTTGATACTCCTGATAAGCTTAGTCTTGAATTTAAACCACCAAAGAGAAACAAACACTCTGAAATTCTTTTCTTTCCAGAATCTTGAAACAGGAAGATTCGATGTTCGCTACATATTTGTGGATGTTGAGACATATCCGAGAAGAACCATTGTCATAGAGGACAACAGATAGCCAATGATCAAAGCTGCTGCCTTACCTCACATTGGAAAATGTTGTTGTAACCAGCCTGCATATGGATTGTGTGGTGTTGCCAATTGTGTCTCGCAGCTTCAGGGCTGTGTTAAGGGATGTAGCCTCTCAGGGCCTCCACTAAGGACTTTTGATAATAACAGATATGTGATTTGAAGTGAAACCAGTGAAATATAGCCAAATGATCATGGTAGATATTCTTGACATAGGAAAATAATGTCTCCTAATAAACAGTTTAATGCTGGATAATACCTCTGCACACCCAAAACCTGAGTTTTCCAAGGTTTTAGGTTTGGATGGGGAGTTTTTTGTCTTCCTTGGCTTGGATTTCCCACTACCACTGCAATAAAGAAAGGGGTGGTTTAACTGTAGACAGAGCTCTACTGTTTTCATTTTGGATACCTTTGTAGGTAAGAAGGTAAAATGGTAGCGATGCAAAAGAGATCTGGGCATATAAGGGTAGGAATGGTGGAGGCCATAACAAACAACTGTACAACGTAACAAACACCCATAACAAACAACTGAAGATAAAGACTTCAATATTGGTGTCTTGTAAATAAATTACCAGCAAGTAGAACATCACTGCCATCTGCTCTTTCCGGTGTTTGGCATTCTGCTCCACATGGTTGTAGCAAGATGGGGGTTGGCCATTTATCCTAGGCAATTAGTGACAGGACAAGAGGACATGGCCTCAAGCTGTGTCAGGGGGGATTTGGGTTGTACATTACCTTTAAAATATTTAGAAAACCACAATATTCCATTTAAACTTCTCTCTTTCCCACCTTGTCTGCATCTACATGTGATAAACACACATGTGGTGGTTATCAGGGCATGTCTTTCGTCCATGAAGTGTTCCACATTATTTTCTTTTACTGCCTGCATCACCTTTCTAGCTAAGATTTACCAGGATGCTTCTGTATATTTCATGAAAGGGGGACACAGCTGCTAAGGACATCACTTCTCCTGTGTTGTGAAAAAGCTGACAATATGTTTGATAAAATGAAGACAAAAAGTAGCAGAAGAAATCCACCTTTATCTGACCTTAGGTGTACTAGTGTTCTTAATTTGAACAAATGGTAAATACAATGCTCAAATGCTTTCCAATCTCAGTGGAGGAAAGCTTTTTGGAATTCTTTTTCTAGAACATCTCATCAGTAAAGAAAAAGAAAAGAACTTCATAGCTTGATTTTTCAGCTTTGTACTAGCTAGATACCTATCACCACCAAGATTATTTAAGCCCCTCAAAACTTCAGGAGTAGTAAAGCTTTGGGAACTGATAACTTCTTTCTATATTCCTCCTGAGGCTGAAGTGGTCTTTATGGACTGGACTGGCACCCATGCTTACAAAATTTTCTTGAATTCTGTTTTATGCAAACACATATGGAGGTATCTCAATCAAAATTAGGTGAAGATTAGTTGAACAAGACATCTGGAATAGAAAACATTGATTTCTTGTGTAGTATTACCTTTCCTGGTGGTAGTTTGCACTGGAACAGCTGCATTCACTGAGTTTAAGCATTAGGGTTTTAGATGTTTTAGAATACCCTTTTTGTAATTCTTTTTGTAATTCTGACGTGTGTTAGCCTCAATTTTCCTTATGAAGCTGCCCCTGTTTCACTCAATCATTGCACTACCAGTAAGTCATGCAGAGATCCTTCTCCATGGCAGGGAGCTCAGTGTTCCATCCTCTCACTGGAGGATGTTAGGCTGGGTAGACAGCAAAATTACTGAAAGGTTCACCTTCAGTTGTTGGTAAACACAAGCAGTAACCATTTCACTGTTTCCTTTTTAAAGCTCATGCTTCATTTTCTCTTGGGAGAACACAAAATTTACAGCACGTGCCAGCTACTTTCTCAAGTAAAAGTGTCATGTTAATAAAATGTTGGGAAAAAAATCACTGCTGGCAAGTCAGAGCCAGAGGAATGACATTTTCATAGAAATTAAACACATTTTCCAGAGTTCAGTTTTGATTGTTGCAGAATTAATAAAAATATATGTTCTCAAAACCCCTCTCTCCTTTAGGAAATTAAAATATGTCACTCACCAGTGAAAGGTTGTTATTCCAGAAACACTGTGTGGCAGACTATTCAAAAGAGGTTTTGGGTAGGTGTACAACTTGGTCTTACCTTTCCCATCTCTACATTAATTTTTGTGGATGCCAAAACAGCCGATATCCTTAGAGGTGGTTTGTGGGAATAATGTTACTGTGTCATGTTCTGTGTTTGATTCTAGGTCCTGTGTACACTTGCTGTACAGTGACAAAAAGAAATATCCCTCCAGGAAATGAACTCAGTGGAAAAAATTTATATTTTAAAATAAAATATAAATAAATAAAAAAATATATATTTTAAAATATTAAGAAAAAAGAAATCATTACTCTTTCAATAAGCTTCAATACACAGAAGCTCTTGCAAAGAAAAAGTAGTTGTAGACAAGGAAGCAAAGGTGTTGTGCATGACTGAGTTTAAAAATAACCTTGATACCTAAATATTTTCTGCACAGAATTCAAGTTTAAACAGCTGATTTAGGCAATAGAGTCACAATCTTAGAAATGGTTGCAAACAAATGCGTGTCTGGTACAAGAAACTTCAACAAACTCACTTAACAAGCAGAGAAGACAGGAATGTGAGTAAGACAATTACTGTATCACATGCCAGCTGCAGAGATAAAAAGCCAAAGAAACCGTGCTGGGAGTTTCCACAAGTAATTTCAATTCACTTTGTTCTCAGTCTCATTCACACAGCAGACGCTATCCACCCTAATACTTGTGGGATTATTCCAATATGTATATTGTCAGCAACCTAAAGTGTTGCAGATTATGCCCAAAAAACATTGAGGACACATTTTGAGTCCACACCTACTTTTAGGGTTCACTGCAGCTTCTAAACTGACAGAAGTACATAAGGTAAGCGCAGAGACTGGTGAGAAAATTAAAGGTGAAAACACTTTGAAGGAGCAAGCTTAAAGGTGACAGTAAAGGCTGATGACTGCTCTCTGTATATGGGGTTGTGATGTCTACTTGAAGATCTGGAAGTTGGCACTGGAAAAACAAAAATTTGAAAGCAAAAAGATCTTTCCCCCCTTTTTTTGAGAGGGGGAATTTGCTTAGTCCCTAGAGAGATGTTCACTTGCTCTGAATAGGGAATAATAGAAATCTGGTAGAAATTTTCCTTAGGCATCTGGGAATGTATATCATTATGATATACAGTGATTCCAAACAGTGCTATAAATGATTGAGCAGCCGGGAGTATTTGATAGTTTTTCTTAGTAAATTCTCAGGGTTTTTTATTCTGTATGTGTTACATAAAATAATCTATAGGAATTATAGAAAAATGTGAATTGATATCATCCTATATTCCAATTCAGAATATTTATATTTTATAGTTAAAAGTTGAAAATATAGCAAAAATGTTTCACAATTTAAAGGAAACATAAACAAAATAGCTTTTTAGACTTCTTCTGGTTGTCCTGGGAGAAATATGCTGTATTTGATTCCCTTCATCTCATATAGGTTATTGTGGAACATTGGTAACTCAATGAATAAAAATATTAAGCACAGGTACCCATTTCAGTAAAACAGATCAGTGTGGAAAGCCTCTGTTTGTCTCTCAGGATTCAGTATCAAAATGTTGCACTTCATTTTATTATCTATGTAAACAAGTTCTATCAGTTCTGGAAAAAGCATTGTATGGGAGGGATGCCCTCACCTGCTCCAGCCCACAGCCATCCTGCGGCAGATCAGCCTTGCCCAGCACCCAGAGCTGCTCCCCCCACAGCAGGACAGGGGTGGAAATGGGCACCAGCAGAAATGAGAAGAGCAAGACAGGAAGATCACTTGCCAGTTAGTGTTGCAGGTGAACTAAACTTCAAAATGAGCTCAATTTATTGCCTTTGGCTGGCCCGAGCATCAGCGTGGGCAGTGTGCCACAGTGGTGAGCACCCAGCAAGGCTGGCAGCAGTGGTGCCTCTACTTCCAGATCACGTACAGGCGTCTGCCTCTACATCTTAAAACCTCCTGCTACTGTGCTGGGAAACCTTTTCAGGATAATCGTGTTTATCCAGCCTCTATTTAATTACAATTCCCCTTTATCAGAATCACAATTATCTCCTCTAGCATGAGTTGCTGTCTTGTATTACTCCCCACAATTAACTCTATTAACCTTTTATCCAAGCACATTTTTACTTTTTATGGGAACTGGGTTGTTTTTCAATTTCAATCCTAATTCTTCTTTTTTCCATTAAAAATGTAACAATCTCAGCCATAAAAACATTTTATTAGTTATACATGTATTAAATCATGGCTATATTCCCTGAGATGTGATTTGCTTCATTAGTGCTACAACCTCCATAGAGGAGCTGGAAGTGAATTGCTACTTTGTGCGCTGTCTGGGGCCATGCGTTATCCCGTTTTATTAAAGTGGAGACAAATTCCACTGCTGGAGTGCAGATTTGCAAAATGCCACCAGTTGCTTTTTGGTGTCATAGCTGGTGAGGTACAGATGCCCTCCCCTCCTCTGTGTGGCTGCAAAACCACCACATTAAGGGGTCTGACACTGGTGTATGTATAATAGTGGTGGAAAGAAATAACTGAGACATATCAAGATTTAAAACAGCAGCTTTCTATCAACTGCCTTGAGCATAAAAGCCTCCTAAAAAGTCACAACTCTTTTTACCTGAAAACACTTTTTTTTGTATTTTTCACCTTATTTTCCTTGAATTTCTTTTTTAACATCTTTTTTTTGTGGGGAGTCCTGCCAGCCTCTGCATATGTTTCTCTTTTCCTTCAAAATACTGTGCTTAACTTCTGTGTCTGCATGTCTTTTCTTTACCTATACTTAATTTAGCAGAATAAAAGCTAATCTCCCTCAACTTCTCATCATAAGACATTTTCTAGACCCTTCATCAGCTTCATTGCCCTTATACATATATAGCCCTAAAAACCACTATAAATATATAATGTGGAGCATATATTTTATAGAATATATATTATGTAGACAAAATAATGCCTATCTACATATATTTATATATTTGTGTTCTTGACTTCATCTTGAAAGCTTTTCAGGTAACATCAAAATAAACCAGCTTCTAGGGCTATTCCAGAGCAGACACCTCCCATTACTGTCCAAGTCATGCTGCAGAGCTGGTCTCCAGGGATGTTCCTGAGAGCACTGTGGTCCTCCTAAGCCACATGGAACAAACAAGTCTTGAATTCTGGGTGGTGGGTCTGATTGACACCTTCATTTTTAACTGATACCCACCACCCCATCCAAACCTTCGATGACTGACAGGTACAAAAGCTCCGGACATCTCTCAGTGGCAAATACTTCAAGGTGAATTATGAAGAAATCAGATAAGCAAAAGGATGTGACTT